CCTCAGTGCTCACCCCAAAATCAGAGTCACCATCCTCACCCCTGCTCCGCTCACCCCCCGCAGAACTGACCCCCTTTACCCCAAAATCAGCCCCTAGGGTCACCCTTCTCAATCCTTTCCGACTCATTCCCCTCGACCGAGCCCCAAATCAGTCCCCAGGGCCATCCCCCCACCCTGGCCCCTCAGATTCCCTCACGCAGCCCGGGGTGACCCCACAGCTGGCGGTGCTGTTGCTGCTGTCCCTCCCCGCTGCTGTGGCAGTCCCGGGGAGCCTCTCCATCCATATCCATCCCTTTGCCCCTTCCCGGGACACCGGAGCCTGCTGCTCTGGGCAGCCCTTCGGGAGAGGGGGTTTAAATCCCCCCAGGCTCAGCCCCAAAAACAAAACCTCCCACCTCCAGCCGCCTTAACCCCTTGGGGCTGTGCACCTGGTAAAAGAAGAGACTGCAGTTACCTCACGTAATCCTGTTGTATTTCATGGTGTGGGCACATAAGACCAGGTCATTTTGTACATGGGGCTGAATACTTCATTCAGGACAAATACCAAACTTTTTTGAGCACCTAATCGTAATATTTACGTAAACCCTTATAAGTACAAACTGCTCCAGGAGCTGCTTGCACTGGGCTCATGTCCCCAGACCCATCTTTGCCAGCCTGGCTGCACTTTGCTGTCACACTACAAGAAGCAATTTGGTTCCTCTCCCCTTCCAAAGGCTCAGCTGTGACCTGTTATTCCTGATTTCAAACTTCTCCTTTCCTCTCATAGACAGCAAAGCTCAAAGGGGGGGAAAAATAAAATAAAATAAAATAAAATAAAATAAAATAAAATAAAATAAAATAAAATAAAATAAAATAAAATAAAATAAAATATCAACCATGTCCTCAAGTTGCAGCTTTCTGTGCAAATCTTTTAAACTGTCTGCTCCAGGCTCCAAATCCATCTCCCAGGGATTTGTTCCCTATCTGAACCAAACCGTGCTCCAGGATGATGCTGAACTAAGCAGGCACTGCAATTAAAGCCTATTTTACAAAGAACAGCTCCTCTCTTGCAGCTGTGGTGGTTCAGACAGGCTTGGCTTAGGCTGGCATGGTAGCACCCACTGTCAGGTGCCCAAAAAAACCCCCCAGAGGACCTATTCCAGTGTCAGGACAGCCACCACGTGTGGCACAGGCACATTCCTGCCACACCACCTTTCTTGCACACTGACACAAAGCTTTGCTGTTCCTCTGGATTCCTCTGGAATCTGGAAATGCGAGGATAAAACCATCAGCCACCGCCTGGGTGTGTGAATTCCCCCTGCAGAGGCAGCTCTGCTCTCCCCCAGGGCAGGGGGACAGGAGGAGCACACAAACCTGCAGAGCCTTGAGGGGAGCCTTGCAGCAAGGCTGAGCTGCCTTTGGTGTCACAGGGGTTGCTGCAGAGAATAAATCCACAGAGTTACAGGCTCCAGGCCCTCACATCTCTCTGTCAGCCTGCAAAGCCCCACAGTGGGCCTTTTCCTATTCATTTTGGCCAGAGGATCTTGCTTTTGGGGATCTGGATCATCCTCCTGCACCCCCCTTCCCAAATAACCCATCTGTGTCTCAGGACAAGAATTTATTGTGTTTTCCCTCATTTTGTTTTTTAACAGTCTCACTCTGCAGGCTGACCAAAGCTGCAGTGAGACCAAAGACACCACCAGTACCATCACCCAAACACCCTGTGGTATCTGAGGATACAGGGCAGGTCCCACAGAGTGAAACCTCCTGCAACTGGGGCAATTCCCACATGGTAGAACCTCCCTGGGGCCAGGCTTTCCCCACGAGTTATCCCAGCAATCTCCATGCTGGTGGCTGGGGATGTGGCACGGGAATGGCTCCCTGAGGATGTGTGGCCAGCCTGGGATCAGGAGAGGAAGGCAGAGCTGTGCTCTGTCTCCCCAGCTCCACACTCCTGTGGGGCGGCCGATTTTCCGCTGTGCTGCTCCGAATTGCCTGCTTTTCCCTGTGGGATCAGGAACACGGAGCATCCTCACACCCAAGGGGTCTGTTCACCTCCCCACGCACCTCCTCCAAACGGGAGCTGGTTTTGTGGGGCTCCCTGTGGGCAGCCGAGGGTGAAAAGGGCTCCGTGTGCTGTGGTGGCAATGTCACAAAGCTGTGAGTGTCCCCAGAGCTCCCAGCACGGCAGGCTCAGCTCTGAACGCCCATTAAGAGAACTGAGAAGCTGTGGAGTGAGTTACAGGAGTAGTCGATGCATTAAATGTTTCTCTCTCCACAGGAGCAAAACAAGGTAGGCTGGGCTGGGGTCAGACGAAGAGCCCTGGCAGAGCTGATTGCACCGGCCGGAATCAAGAGTTCCATCTGTGCACGACCAAAAAGGCAATTTTGCAGGAAAAGAAGGCGCGGCACGAAAAAGATTTGTTCCCGCTGCAATGTATCGCGCTTCTCACCCAGCCGTGGGGAAAAATACAGTTTCTCCTGAAAACTGCGCTCACCTCGGCTGTTTTGGTGCGAGGATTTAGCTGGACAATGTGGACACATTCTCAGAGGACACCCATTCCTAAAAACCAGCCCTGGAGACCCTGGGGCTGAACAGCCCCTTTTCCAATGACTACTGAAGGGGGAGGAGATAAGAAAACCCCCGCAGACGCCTCACTTTGGGTGCCCAGCCCCTCCGGGGGAGTGACAGCACTGACATTTTACCCCAGCCCAGGGCAAACCCGGCCCGAGCCCCTCTGCCGGGTCGGGATCTGATGCGCGGGGCCGGGCGGG